CAGTTTCCTGAGCTGTGAATGGGATAGCAACTGTTCCCATCGCCTAGGCCCCTTGTGAACAGTGCAGTGCTTGGTGCCCAGAAGATGCTCCTTATGTGCAGCCTGGGGTTCTTCTGATCATTTTATTTTAAGGCCCTTCATCCTCACAATAGGCCAGTGATGGCGAACCTATGACACGCGTGTCAGAGGTGACACGCGAACTCATTTTTTTGGTTGATTTTTTTTTGTTAAATGGCATTTAAATATATAAAATAAATATCAAAAATATGTCTTTGTTTTACTATGGTTGCAAATATCAAAAAATTTCTATATGTGACACGGCACCAGAGTTAAGTTAGGGTTTTTCAAAATGCTGACACGCCGAGCTCAAAAGGTTCGCCATCACTGCAATAGGCCCATGAGACAGGGCAGGAATGTCATGCTTGTTCTACCAAAAGGAGACAGGGGCTTACACAGGAGAAGGGACTGGCCCAAGGCCTCTCAGCAAGGCTATGGCGTATCTGGACCAGAATCCAGGCTGCCTGACTCCTATCTCAGGGCTCCTGCTTTGCCAGTGCCTCCCTTCCTGGGAGATCCTGCCTCCAGCTCTTCCCAGAGAAACCTGCCTCAGAGCCCATCTGGTGAGGCGGTCTGGCAGAGGCTAAGGCACTGGGACAGGGAGGGGCAGCTCAGGAGTTGGGTGGGGCATGGGCTGGTGCCCTGTCTGTGGCTGCTCACTCATTCAGAAGGTCCCATATCCCTGTGGTGCTCATGGGGATGACGGTGTGAGTTCCTCTAGACCTGGGCGTGGTCTCCAGGTCCTGCCCAGGCCCTGCCCCATGTGAGTCTTGCTGTTTGAGCCTTGGCACCAGTGATGGCCCCGCCAGAGCTCAGAGGCCGGGTCTCTCTCCCATTGTCTAGGACACTCTCCTTCCTGGGCATGAGCCTCTGCCTGGCCCTCATGTTCATCTGCTCCTGGTATTATGCCCTGGTGGCCATGCTCATTGCTGGGCTCATCTACAAGTATATCGAGTACCGTGGGTAAGTGCAGGAGGAGGGGAGGGCTGGGAGAGACTGAGGGATGGAGGGGTGAGGAGGGGTGAGGAGGGGTAGGAGTGCTGGTGATGGGATGTTGGGGGCTGGGGATGAGGCAGGAAGTGGGGGTAGAGTGGAGGAGGGTGGCATGGGGTGGGATTGGGATATAGGGGCCAAGAGCAGAAGGAGGGCCGAAGCTTTGAGAAGTGGAGGTGGCAGGAGCGACGTGCATGTCCTTTCTGAGCCTGCGATAGAGGACTCTGCCCTGGGGACTGGCCACTTCAGTGTGGACTGTCCTCCCTGACACTCCCTGGCTTCCAGGGCAGAGAAGGAGTGGGGTGACGGGATCCGAGGCCTGTCTCTCAGCGCTGCTCGCTATGCCCTCTTACGCCTGGAGGAAGGGCCCCCACACACCAAGAACTGGAGGTGAGCGGTGGGAGCACAGGTGTGAAGGCTCAGGGCGGGAGAGGAAGGGAGCAGGCCCTGACCTGCCTCACCTGCTTTGTTCTGCTGAGTGGTGTTCTCACCACGATGGTGTGTCCTCGACTTCTCCCCAGCTTCGCCTCGTCTGAAACCTTCCCACCTACAGCACCAGGGCCGGGCCGAGTTCCAGACATTTGTTCTCCAAAACCAACTCCCATGCCAGCCTCCTGACCATCTATTCATCCGCTCATTCATCTATTCATTTATTCCACTGTTATTTTTTTAAATGTATGAATGCATGCTATGTGCCAAGCCCTCTTCAGGTCTCTGGGGACACAGTGAGCTCACAGTGCCATGGAGAAGGCACATCCAGAGACAGATGAACATAACATCATGTAGCATTTGCTCTGGGAGAGGAGGGACCATCCACTCTGAGAGTGATAGGGCATTTGGAAACCTCTAGATTCATCACAATAGCTCCATTTTGTTCATGTGAAAGTCAGGGACCAGAGAGGGTCTCAGAGGCCATGGAAGGCAGAGCTGGAGCCGGCACCTTCCCGCCCGCCGCAGCCCCCGGTGCTTTCTAAGCGCCTGCTCTGCAAGCCCATCCGTCTCTCACCCCCTCAGCTCCCTTTGCCAAGAGCAAAGCCTGGAACTCTGCACTGTGCCCTGACACCATTGGCTTGTCCTTGACGCTGTCTACTAAGCCGGGGCTCCCACAGACCAGACCTTCGTGTTATTTGTCTGAGTTCTCAAATGCTTAGCAGAGGGTCTGGCCAGAGTAGGTTCTTAGAGAATGCTATTAAACTCATGGGTGGTTGGATGGATGAGACAGCTAAAGGAAATAAATAAATGAACAGATAAGTAGGTGGGTAAATACATAGATGGATAAATATACATATGACGGTGGTTGGCTGCATAGGTAGATTTGTGAACGAATGGTGGTAGTATGTGAGGGTAATTAAGTGAATAATGCATGTATAAGTAAATTAATTTGGATGGAAGTGGATGATGGATGACTGAAAGATAAAATAGATGGGTGGGTGGTTGAATGGATGTATGGATGAGTGAGGTAGATGGAGAGATGGATGGGTGGGTGGTTGGTTAAATGGGTTGATACTCAAGGAAATGCATGGATGGATGGATGGGTGGTGGGGATATAGGTGAGGAAATGGATGGGGGTACAGAGGACAGATGGGTAGTGAACTCACTGGTGTTTGGTGTGTAGTTGTGTGGGTGTATGGTGGGTGGTGATGGGTGGGTGGTGGATGGATCATGTGACTTGCATCCTCTTCAGGCCACAGCTGCTGGTGCTGGTGCGTGTGGACCAAGACCAGAATGTGGTTCACCCACAGCTGCTCTCACTGACCTCCCAGCTCAAGGCAGGGAAAGGCCTGACCATCGTGGGCTCTGTCCTTGAGGGCACCTTTTTGGACAACCATCCACAGGCCCAGCGGGCAGAGGAGGTGAGCGGAGGCCCTGGAGGGGAGGGAGGAAGGACAGGGCACTCAGGAAGCCAGTCCTTGCCCCTTCATGCTTCTTTCCTTCCACCTTTGGGATCAATGGGGGCTCAGACTTTGCTGTCCTCTTTCTTAGAAGAGGGGTCTAAGGGCTCAGGGTGTGAGTTCCTTAGAATCCAACTCACGGAACCAAAGACCATCCGAGCCAGAAGGGCCCATTTTATGGATAAGGAAACCGAGGTGTAGAGAAGTCAGATCA